AGTATGGCACAATGATGCACACTTTTGAATGGAATCCACTCAATATCACACAATTGTGCATCTCAAGAATATTTATCTGTTTAAAAGACAATTTTAGGTATTTTGAAAAATACTCTCAGCTTTAGGTCATACTCTGCAGATAAACAAACCAAAAGGGATACTTTTCACACCATATCTACTCTTTATACTGTATATCTCACTCATCTCTCTTCCTCTCCGGATGTGGATCGGCTTGTCTCTTGCATCACATCCGTCCAGACTGCAGTGCAATCCCCCATAGTCACTGCCTCTCAACATCTCCACAGGTTATCCTTGCACCGCAGACTTCTCCTTAAGCGCCTCGTATCACATTAGGCTACTCGTCTTTACCCTGCCACTACTATCATAATGCAGCTGTTGTGCAACTCTAAGATACTTCTTAGACCAGAGAAAGCGCATTACCCTGAGCGGTACACCCATAATCCTTGTTAGTTGTTATATTTAAAGATCTAATGTGAATTTATCAGCACATTAAAGGATTATTCTGGGTTAACTACAAGCTAAGCTACTAGCTGTAAACAATATATTGACAGTTATGCAGTTATAATGGAGGTCTATGGGACAACAAACAACAGCTGCACCATAGACTTCCACTGTACAGTATGTGCATTTCTGTAAACATAATTTTAATGAAGTTTAACTGGTATTTAATCCAGAGTGCTGATTTAATAAAAAAGTTTTTAAAAAAGAACATAAAGCGTAAAGACAGTTAAGGCCATAAAGCTGTGAAGTCATAATACTACAAGATTAAAGTAGTAATATTTTGAAGATAATAAAGTAGCATTATGACATTAAAGCCATAAGGAAAAAATATAAAAGGGGCATTCTTGTAAAATGTTTTATTGTGACTTTCTTCATTAAAGGCATAATTATTATTGAAACATTACAACTTTATTCTCAAAATCATAGTTTTTTATTATTATTTTTATTATTTTAATGTGGCACTAAAACGTTGTAATATTTAGGCTAGGTGCTGTGACTGTTCACTATTTCACAGTTTATAGTTTTACCATTTTAAAGGCCATTTAAAAAACTTTTTGCAATTGGTTCTGCAGAGTGACAAATGCACTTTGCCAAGTAAATTCATTAGAGTAAGTAAATTCCATAAAATATAATTAAAATGAGGTCATAAAACTGCACACATAATAATTATAAAAATTATATAATTAAAATTAAAAATGTAATTATATAAGAATTCATATAAGTAGTTTTAGATGAATTGCAAGTCGCACTGCAAGACACCACCAGTGCTGTCAACTGCCCAATAACAGTCATATACTTCAAAACAACAAAATCTTGTGAGAAATATCCAAATAAAATCACTGTGTCTGAATTTAAGCATGCCACTAAGCCAGTCATTGCAGCTAGGAACCGTTCCGCATGAGTACGGTCCAGCAGACAGGGTGGTGGTGCAGACGGCTGGATCTGAGGAAGTCTTCACGTCACTCACTGTGGCGATCACAGCCTTTAATTGGCCTATTATTCCACAGGAGAGGAAAAACTGAAGCGACAGACCGAGATAAATAATTGAAGGGGAAGAAAAGGCGACATTTGGGGCTTCAAAACAAGCAATCTCCTCTGCTGCCCACCCCCTCTCTAGCTCTCTCTCTCCATTGCCCCCTCTCGCGAGCCTCTCCCTGGTGTGTTCTTGTTCACCAAGCCCAGCTCTTATCCCATCCCCTCTTCCAACATCACACCATCGCTCTCTGCTGTGGGCCCACAAAATATATATTCTGTATGTGTGTGCGCAAATAAGACTGTGTGATCTCTAAGTGAACGTGTACGAAAAAGTGTGTTTGAACGATATTTTTTAGTGCCGTGCCCCAAGGCTTGAGCTGATGTCTTGCTGAGTGCTCTACACAGCTGTATCGGGGCCAGAGATGTGTGTGTGTGTGTGTGTGGATTGATGTGCAGATGAGGGTGTGTTTTGTAAGCTGGTACAGTTGGCATCCCACCACACACACACACACACACACACACACACACACACACACACACACACACACACACACACACACACACACAAAACCCCTGGGTAAAGGAGCAGCGAGTGACAGACCACAAGCAAATATCTCTACACTGGATGTAAGTGTGTGTGTGTGTTTTTGTATACCCCCAAGCTCTCGTCATAGTGTCGGACCTACATTTAAATTTGCTTTGCTCTTTGGGCACAATTTCTAACCATCCACAATCATAAGCACATTAAACTACTGAAAATACACACTTGACATCAATCTGACAGAACAGAGAAGCGAGCCTGAGTAAAGCATATAATGTGAAGAACAGAACAATGACAGAGAAAGAAAAAAGAGCTGTCTAAGACACAGCGGAGAGGGGGAAGGGTGAAGAAGATGCTAATATAAATAGACAGAGTCAGAAAGAGGAAGAGAAACAAAGGCAGATTGGCAGGAGGGGTGACATTAAAGGAATAGTTCACCCAAAAATGAAAATTCAGTTTATTTGTTTGTACTGTAGTCAGTATTCACTTTTATTGAATAGAAAAGAGCAGCAAGAACATTCTGCTAAACTTTTCTTACTGTGTTCCACAGGTGCCAAATGATATGTGGCTGAGTACTGACTGAACTTTCATTTGGGTGGACTTTCCTTTCATTTTTTTCCTTTTAAGTCCCCCTGCAGTCACTAATTTTATCACTTTAAACTTATCTTTGATGATGAAAATGACATACTTAAACATTTTAACTCTGAAAATCATTTCTTCATGCCTTATAATGGCTTAAATATATAACTCTACACCCTTACCTCATTTATTATACACGGAACCATGAGCATGCAAATTAGTCCCCACCTCCACTCAATCACACCAGCTCAGAAAACCTGCTCCACTTTCACTTGGTTAATAGAAGCAATAAACACTACACAATGGCAAGTAGCAATAATGGATTAATGTAGTCATACATATTTGAACCACAAACTGATTCTGAAGAAGACGTCATCTACAAGTCAATGTATCACAATAGCAGTGCATTTTATGTATCGCTCTCTACATCATCAGACACGTAACGGTAACTAATATCATGGAGTAACTATGTTATTGAACAGCAAATAACGTGTAGCTAATCTAACACAAACCATGTTCCTGTTCACCATCTCAGAGAGTTACCTTCTGAAAATCAGCAACCTTAGGTAGAAATTATTTGCTAGTGATATGAAAATCCTATCCCAGTTGACGAGCTTGGTGAAATGTTTGCGACAGTAGAAACAGGGTTGGTTTCAAACCACATTTTTAGAGACTGTTTTGCTACACTGCAGCTTTAAAGGGAACATGCTGAGCAGTGGTGTTAACCAATTTTGTCTTGAAGCATATTAAAAACACCAGACAAACAGTGTTAAAAATAGATTTTCACCACAGGGGGTATTTAATAAAATAAGATAAAACAAGATAATCTGAATACATTTTACAAGAAAATACTATTTCAGTTATTCTACTTCAAAATGTCACAGTTAATTCACTGTTAGTTTCCAATTCTTTGTAATTATTTGTGAAATTTACTAGCAATATCTAAGTCAAAATTGTTTTGATATCAAGCGTAGAAAAGGAAGATCTCTCAGGGTTTGTGTCAACAACAGTCCATTGACACTCAGCAGGAAATTAGTTTGATTCCTCACCTCAGTCACCTCCTTCACTCTGTATGTGTGTGTGTTTGAAACCAATCTGGATGATTAATTTAGCTTTTGTGGCTCCAAACCCTGGCATTTCAAGTCTCCAGCTGCTTTCAATGGTCTTGAAGTGACTATCACACACACACACACACTGGGATTCGTATGCCACCTCTTCTCTCACCATCCTCCATCTCGCACACACTCCCTATAGAGTCGGTCGGTCCCTCAGACCCACCGAGACTCAATGGCCGCAGTAATGCTCACAGCTCAGCAGGGGTCCGGTCTCCAGCGATTTCTGTTTGTGTGTGCGCACCATCACACGTACATTGCTTTTATCATTGATTCCACTGCCCATTCTCCAAATGGACTTGGCAAAAACAGCCCAACCAGCAGGCAGTAAACACTGCACACCCCATTACAGAGGAAAGGTTAAAGTCTTAGTCTCATTGTTTTTGTTACTGCTGCATAATAGAAGCACAAAATAAAGGCACAGAGTGGATGCACACGTTTAACCAATGCTGATGGGTTTTTAAAGGACTACTTCACTCAAAAAAAAAAAGAAAATTAAATGTTTACATAATTTCAAAACTCATCCTCATGTTGTTCCAAACCTGGATGACTTTCTTTAGTGGAACACTGTTTCAGAACAGGGACTGAAGCTTTAAGCCTGCAGTAAACACCAGGCTGCTTCAGTCAAGAGCTGAATGGTCTGAATGTGTCATTCACGAATCAAACTAATTCAGTTTTTGAGTTCAACACACTGACTCAATGATCCAGTCACAGCTAACCAGAAGTGAACATCATCAGTGAAGGACTTTTTAAATTTCTTAAAATTACCTTGCATGCATTTCAGTCTATTTATGACTTTGAAAGAAGAAAAATCTCTGTGGCTCTTTTATGGTGGTTTTGCATTCTTTTTTTTTTTCTTTTTTTTTTTTTGAGCCCTGAAAGCTTCAGGTCTCTTTTGTAATTACATGTAAAATAAAGAATTATACTGAAATGTAATATACAACACACATATATATTGCCCTATATCAATTATCAAGAGTGATATTGCCATATATGATACCTGATAAATGTTTATATGTAGACCTTAATAAAACCTATATGATGATATATGCTGTTATTTAGAACATAAATATATATATTTTATGATGGATATATACGTACATGACACATGTCCAAAAATTTATCACACATACATAATCAAATATACTGAAATTTTGGGAAATTTGGAACAACCTGATGGACAACACAATTTTAATTTGCGTCAACTGAACTTTTAAGGACATATGGATAGTTAATGCAGTTAAATATGGAAGTTAAATGCAGTGCCTTACCAGAATCCGATCTTCTGATTTGCCACTCTTGTTCTCAACTTTGATAGCTCTCATCAACTTGGTTGATGTCTTGTCGATAACTCGTCTGATGCTCTCTGCAAAATAGAAAGGCGATGCATTAATGGCAGGGGAAGCACTCTATCTATCTCAGACATATTTTCACTGCTCGCAGGGTTAGAAAATGACTGCTTTATACCCATATGCTGTATTTTTACACCATGTCCACTTGTGTAGGTGGTCTTTCTGCATGCATACTGTACATAAGCTAAAAAGCAGAAAATAAATGAGGAAAGTCATACTTTTTATCTGGCTTCGCACTTGCTGTATATGTACGTGCGAACGATCACATTTTAAACTTGTGATCTAATTCCTGGAATATGCAGTTTAAACTTTTATAAAGAGGAAAGACTCCAAGAAGGAATAGAAAGGCAGAGCGAGCAGAAGAAGGAATAACAGAGGAGAGAGAGAGGGAGAGAAGGATCAGAGCAAGACAAACAGTTAATGCAGTCGCAATCAACTTTAATCTGTGTAAGACCCAATCACGGGATCCTAGGCTTTCTGACAGACACTAAGAACAGCAAAGGGCAAAACTAGAGCACATGTTTCCATTACAGCGAGTCACAGGGGGATAAATAAATGGGTAAATGGGGTAGGGAGGGATATGTAAATGTGCACAAAGAAAGAGCGAAAGAGAAGACGAAAAAAGAAAAAAAACAAATGGAATAAGTGATGGAGTGAGATTTAGATCAGATGAAAGAAGTGGTGACTGAGAGAAAGAGAGATGGAGAGAGAGATCACACATTTGTGATTTTGCTCCCCTTTTTATTAGGGGAATCTAAAGGCTGCTGTTTTCTAGCAGCACAGAACGTCTTCAATCACTGTCCTTCATATGGTGGTAGGTGATCTGTCATGCCCACTATTCCCCCATTACTAAACCTTTGCTAACTATTATTTTTGTATCTAGTCTTATTTTTCATCTTCAATTAATGTTGCCATTTTAATGTTTCATTTTTGTTAAATGTGCTTATTGTTCCTTTTTTATTTTACTCTGGACTGTTTACTTTAGCTGATTACATGCCATTCTGAAATGACCGGTCAAACATTTATCATGTAATAACTTAAATGTATATTCATCCTACACTACACCAGTTTCATGTTTCTCGCGTCACTCTATGGTCTCTTCCTTCTCACATAATCCAATAATTGCAGCTCAAATCAATGATCTACATGCATTTATATATTTACTTAGCAGGTAGCCATGAAATAAGCTTGGTGTTGAGGTGGGTTTATTTCGATGATGACTGATTGAACATTTTCCCAATTTATTGTTTTATTTGTATTTGTGCTCTTTTGTAATTTTACCTTTTTAACACATCAAGATTTTAGGTTAAAATTTAGATAGCATGAATTCAGGCATATTGCTATTGAGATGTTTATTGTCTAAAGCGGCTCAATTGATCTGAATTTACTCTACAGTATGTATGAGAAGGTTTAGGCTATATTTTAGTCGTGAGTCGTGACTGTTCACCATTTTTTACTTTTCAGCTTTCCAAAAGGAAAATAATATTAATACACCATCCTATCTGAGCTATTAGAATCTGCAGATTACTGCAAAAGTGCTGATAATGATACAGATGGTACAATGGAAGGCCACATGATGACTCACAATTCATCAAAATTCGCCTCTCCAGTGACCAGTAATAGAATGAACAGTGTCACTCACACAAACATCATCACAAACACCGCAAATGGCAGAATAATGCAATAAACATGAACTAAATAACTTAAACACTCTAATGTAATGTACATAGCCTAATTAATACCAGAAATAATATATTTTTTTTAATATAAATTCAAACAATTTCACGCAAATAATTATGGGAATGCCACTTTCCCCATAAATGATAAGTTGATTATACTTATAAAAGCTATAAACTTTAAAATATTTTACCCGGAGCCATTGACAGGGAAAGACAAATGGGAACACTGTCCTGGGCACAAAGCAATGGGGGCATATTAAGGTCCCCTAGCTTACTGGTCCCAATAATTTGGTCCTGTGCCCTGTAAATTAAAGTGACAACCCTGATATTACCATAAAAGTATATGTATTGCCTTGTTAAATACTCAATATCACTGTAAATTATAAGACAATAAAAAAAACTTTACGATAAGATAATGTGTTGTCTCACACTATATATGTCTATATATGTGACCCTGGACCACAAAACCAGTCATAGCATGGGTATATTTGTAGCAATAGCCAACAATAAATAAATTATCAATTTTTCTTTTATGCCAAAAATCATTAGGATAATAAGTAAAGATCATGTTCCATGAAGATATTTTGTAAATTTCCTACTGTAAATATATATTAAAAAAAAAATGTTTATTAGTAATATGCATTGCTAAGAACTTCATTTGGACAGCTTTAAAGGCAATGTTCTCAATATTTTGATTTTTTTTTTAACCCTCAGATTCCAGATATTCAAATAGTTGTATCTCAACCAAATATTGTCCTGTCCTAACAAACCATGCATCAATGGAAAGCGTATTTATTCAGCTTTCAGATGATGTATAAATGTCAATTTCCAAAAAATTTACCCTTATGACTGGTTTTGTGGTCCATGGTCACATATGTGTGTGTGTGATAGAGTATATGGTATATAGTTAACAAGTTATCATTTCTAGCATTGCTTTTCCCCCCCAGTGCACTAAATGGAAATTGAAATAGAGAGCGCAAGCGCTTGGGAGCAGGACAGTAAATACTGGGTTAGTAATAGGGATTAATTACCAAAGGAAGATAATAATGTGAGAAGGTAATTAACAGTGAGAGCGCTCCAAATGTCAAACTGCTAGTGTGTGTTCAGTGTGTCATTGTATGTGTCAGTAAGTGTGAGGACGCATCACCGTGCGCAAAGATGACGGCCTCTGTGATGAGTGTGTGTGTTCCATCAGCCCAAGACACACATGATGAATGTGACTGAAGTGTATCAGCCTCTCCGTGAACTTGCGTCAGCAGCGATACGCAAATGTGTTAAAGAACTGAAAGTAACTCATATCTGAGACACATCAAAGAGAGAACAGCATCATGCGCGCGCGCGCACACACAACTACCTACACACTGCAGGCGAACGCAACAGACACACACACACACACACATACAGGAAACCAACTGATCGATTTGCACAAATTTAGTCTTTTGAAGATGGACACGAAGTGACCGTCATTAAAGCGACCATATGGCACACATGCTCACCCGCGAAATTAATGATTCTACCGTTAATCAAATGCAATCTGTATGAGAAATCATTACATCTCCACAAATCTGCCACCTTATCAAACATTCAGCGCTGTGAAGATTTCAAACCACTAAAACACAAAGCGAGCGGGGACGCGCTTAACAAATCCCACGGTGCGCGTGTCGAATGTAGGATAGGAAGAAGAAAAAGAGCGATTGGATTTAATCACCTGTCATTTCCCGACTCACGGTGAGAAAAGCAGTCGCGACGGTGTCTTTGGATGCCATGACGTACAGCGCCCTCTCCTCGTGCTTTCCTTATCAAGCAGGAGCAGCTATAACGCTGGCTCTCTCTCAGCCAATGCCTATAAACATATCATACTGAAGAGAGCCAGCGAGGGGAGGAGGAGGAGGGCATGAGAGAGGAGTTCACACACAAGTGTGCATGTATCTACTGTATGTAAAGCGATGAATTAATAATGCAAACGCAAGGTTTGTGCCTGGATGGGAACATGACTCAAGTCCTTTCATCTTTTTGACTTAATAATATATGGACGTGCATGAGATGATAGATAGATAGATAGATAGATAGATAGATAGATAGATAGAGTTTTACTTTAAAGTACAATATAAATCACCATGTTTTAATAATATTTTGTCATGCTTTAAAGAAGTAAGCTTATTTTGAATGGTTTACTAACATGCTAAAGCACGTTAAGTACTTGATTATAATTTTAAGTTTATGTCATATTAAATTTAAAGATAATACATTTGAAATGTGCTAAATTGCAACTTCTTCAATATAAATGTTTAATTACTTTAAGTAAATTATTTCCATAAGTATTCATTTAAAAGTATACTACAGTGTATAGCTAGCTAGCTCGATAGGGTCGTCGTGATTTTGCCAGGTAAGACATGTTCCTGGATCAACATTTTTGTCCAAAAACATAGACCTAACCCTATCCCTACCCCTACTTTATCCCTAAAATCAGAGGAAAATGATAGTTGAATAACAAGGGTGTAAAAGCACCTAACTCTGGTTGTAAGGCTAAAATTGACATTTCCTGTAAACTTATCCCTCAATTCTCATTGGTTGATTGGACTTGGTGAAATCAAGTTCACCAGATAGGTCCATAATAACAGGTAGAAAATCAGGCAGGAAATGTTCTGTGGATTTTCTTGCACACCTGTTAGCTTTGAGGGTAATAAATATGCTAGTGTTCTCTTAAATGTTGACAAAATTCACTTTTAGCAAAATAGCACTTTTAGCTTGGGAAAGCAGACCATACATATTGATGACTCACCTTGCACTGTACAAATTTTGTCCAATCAAATGCTCTTTAGAATAAGTCCCTCCCCCAAGACCACTTGCAACTAGCCTACAGGGCTATTAATTAAAAAAAAAACAGTGACAAGCCATCTAATATGTCCCAGCCAAACCTCTTTATTCAACAGGAAATACATCAGTGCGAGAGAGAAAACTGTGTATTATACAACAACTTACTCCAACAGCATCAAGAGAGTCATGCACCTTGTTAGCAGTAAGAATGACAGACCTCAGCGTCTGCCTACTGGGTAATTGCTAGGAGGTGTTTGTGCCTAGCGTTTCGAGTCTATACGGTGACTCAGTGTTTAAAAACGGGTATTTATAGAGACTAGTGTCAGTGTCCTTGGCAGTGAGAGAAATGGTTTCTTTCATAATAGAGTATTTTAAAATCCCCGTCACTCATAAAAGGATAATACAGGCAGAAAATTATGTCTGTGATTGGACAGAACTGTAAATGGGCTCCCTGAGGACCATGACATACTTTCTCTCTCTATGATGTTCGCTATTAGTGCCTATCCTTCCCTCTACACACATTTCCTGCGCTTCTCTGTTGCTCTGGCATTGCTTGCTCTGTTGAAACCGTGTCTGCCCTACACTTACCCCTAGGCTGATTTTGTGTTTGGAAGGGTGGGTAGCAGGGGGAAGGGCAGAAGGCGACTGGCTTTGGTGTTGTCCCTTGGACCAACTCTCTGGGCCTCGGTATATATCTGCTGAATGAGATGATGTGCGTGTGTGTGGTTTAAGGGAGAAAAAAAGACCATGTAGGTATAACTGTTGGAATAGTAGAAGAGTGCAGCCTGAAGGGAGCATGACAGGAGAGACGGACTAATGCATAACGGAGAAATAAAATATAGACAGATAGTGGGAACAGGAACAGACATAGTATGTGGATGTGGCGGAAGGATTAGATAGGACGACAGATTTCCATTCAGATCAGCAGATGTGAAATGGATAAGCACTTGCAACATTAGCATAAGGAGATGTGCAATAATTTCATAAATATTCAGATGTTAAAAATAGAGATTATGCATATTGCTATAGTTTATAAAACAGTATATAAACTCAAACATTCAATAAACATGCAACGATTCATATAATACAAAACATGGATTTTTTTCCTCTTTGGTTATTCTTGGCTAAACTTGAGCTGTTCATAATTACAGGTGCTGATATAAAAAGGCTGAATTCAAAACGTGTCTAGTGCTGCCACCACGTGTCTACATGCAAAAGAACCACATCCTTCCTCCAAATCCTAATGAATGATTGCATATTAGTTTGAGAATAAGATGCATTTCATGACCGCTGCATGTGTAAACACTACAACTTACAAACTACCAAACATTAATGGAGAAGAAAGGGATGTTTTGGTCTCATTTTTCACTGGATCGCAAAGTCTCACGTAGGAACCATTCCCAGCCAGTCCGAACCCAGGATAAACAGGCTCTTTAAAAACAGTTTGGTGCTTATAAATGAGACTCATGTTGTCAGACACATTGTAAAATGCCAAGATTCCAGCCCTGTAGTCCAAATACACTCCTATTTTGGAGCCATATGATTGAAACTTCGAAAATGTTGTCTTATTGTCATGCCAAAATTCTATATGGACACGTTTACAGCGTAGTCCCCATGACTGGGCATTTCTCCCAAAGAGTGTACGCTGCTTGCCTTTTCTACGGATACCTTGGTAGGACACAGCAATGCAGACCCAAGTGCCCCCGCCAATCTCTACTTCCCAATATTTAGGGGACCCTCTCAGACCTTTGTTGCACAGGATCTGTGCCCTGCAGTTAAATCTCTGAGTGTGTTCAGCATAGTCCTGAAGCAGGTGAGAGGCCTTCACCTCTTTGTTCTCATTCCTCAAGATTAGACTTTCATGTGCTGAGTTGGTATTAAAAGTGAGTTTTGATGCATCTGAGATAGATAGATGGACATATGAAAAGATACGATATTAGTACACCAAACATAAAGGACTATGCTGCATTACTTGACAATCAGAAAATAAATGCTTTTGCGTGATCAGTTCTATTGGAAACTTACACTGTAGAAACTCCTCTCGTGTCTGTGGTGGTGGTGATCTTACGATTCTAGTGTTTCTCACTGCAAAGAAAAATAGATAAGGTGATTTGCAGACATAGGGTACTTCTTAAAGGATTATTTGACTTCCATAATAAAAATTTCCTGATAATGTATTCACCCTCTTGTCATCCAAGATGTTCATGTCTTTCTTTCTTCAGTCAAAAAAGCAATTAAGCAATTATTTTTCTCCATTTAGTGGACTTCAATGGCAGCCAGTGGGTTGAAGGTCCAAATTGCAGTTTTAATGCAGCTTCAAAGAGCTCTATAACGATCCCAGCCGAGGAATAAGGGTCTTATCTAGTGAAACGATAGGTCATTTTCTAATAAAAATTAAAAAAACTAATTTAGAAAATGACTGATCATTTCCCTAGATAAGACCCTTATTCCTCGGCTGGGATCGTTATAGAGCCCTTTGAAGCCCGTTGGCTGCCACTGAAGTCCACTGTATGGAGAAAAATCCTGGAATGTTTTCCTCAAAAAAACGTAATTTCTTTGCAACTGAAGAAAGAAAACATGAACATCTTGGGTGACATGGGGATGAGTAAATTATCAGGAAATTTTTATCCTGGAAGTGAACTAATCCTTTAATTGAAAGGCTGATTACTAGTGAGGCTGTGTTCTTCTGAGGCTTCCAGGCTAGAGTTCTTCTCAGCATTAAACACTAGAATGCAGCCTTTCAACTGAGAAGTACCCATAATATAATCATGAAATATATTTAAATGAAAACTTCTACTAACCTTTTCTGGAAATCATGAATAAACTCAACTTGCTGGTCGTGTTTAGCTTTTCTATTAGTTCATTAACCGCCATGGAATCACGCTCAAAAGAATTGTACGGATGCACAAGGAAGACGAATGTTTTTTTATACTCAGTCAGTGAGGGCAGAGACACAGCGCTCTGTAGAGAGAGAAAACACACCTTGAATGTGACTTGAACTTTTACCTGAAGATTTTACAAGACAATTCAACAGGCATTCATTTCTGTTTCACAGCCATTTTCAATCACTGTACCTCTAGAAATCGAACATCAGTGTTTGTATGAGAGAGCAGCTGCAGGCGTTGTAGATCAGCATCTAAGGTCCTCATATTACTGATCTCCTGCTGTAGAGTCTTTATGAATCCCTCCGCTTCGTTCACTGCAGACTTTGTCTGTCCTTGAATCAGCTCTGTCACTTTGCTTTGATTGTCCTTCATAGACTGGATCAGCTCAATGAAGTTCTTCTCATTCTTCTCCAGTGCCTTAATTTCTGAAGCCTAAGAATGAAGAGGGAGCAGAGTGGATGTCTTTAGCTATGCAAGCAATACAATACCATTAAAAATAAAGACAGTTACAGTTTCAAAGCAAAGATAAATGCCCTCTAACCTTGAAAAGCTCTACAGCTTGTCTCAGCTCTTGCACATCTTTCTCCTTAGCTTCAATAATGTCAACGGTCTGCTTCTGCAACTCCCCCAACTTAATCTTAAAAAGATTAGTTTAGTTCAGTTGCATCTCAACTCAGTACAAATTCTAGTGTTTTTAAGCCTTTTATTGGCACTGATAGTACAGAAAAAAATGACATGGGCCAGACTCAGATTCATTCCACCCACATAAGCAATGTGTCGAGCATGTGTGCTAACCACTGGTAATGGTATCTGGCCATTTTTGGATGATCAGCCTCAGTCAGTAAACATGTCTGACTGTCAAATTCCAAAATCTAAAAAAAATCTTCAAGAAAATCTTCAGTAAAAATATATGTTTATCTCAGTATAGTTATAATTCAATTGCATTAGCCTATATAATTATTAGGAGTTTCAAAACAATTAAAAACATAAAATACAGCAGCACAACTGTTTTTGCCATTGATAATAATAAAAAATAAATGTTTCTTGAGCACCAAAACAGCATACTAGAATGATTTCTGAGAGATTATATGACACTGAAGACTGGAGGAATGGCTGCTGAATATTCAGCTTTGCCATCACAGGAA